TGGTTCATATTTACTATCAAATAGTTTTTCTTCTTCTATTTTTGACTTTTTTTAAAAAAAATATGGGCAATGCCCATTTAGGATTAATAAAAATATGTTTTCTCATAAATGTATTGAGTCCAAAAGTGAGACAAGCCGAAAACACAACATTTGTGGATAAATTGGAGAACAAAAAGAAACACAACGTGAAATCATGTTGGAACAAGAATTATTTTTTGTAGTAAATCGCAGGACGTCTTTTGGAGCTCCAGATATCCTTCTCTCTTCGACGGAACCATGGCAGATTTGCATTAAACACGAGTTGAAATCATTTGGTTCAAATTCTCACAAAAACCATGAATCCAACTTGGTGAAGACTTCATCAGTTCAACACTATTGTCAGTTGCATTCTCCAAGGTAACAAACAATTCCTTCATTGCTTGCTGAATATACTTTAATCGGAAGAAATACACTAACCCCTCCTTAACTCGTGTAGATTGAGCTCTGAAGAACTAATACTACTGCATTTGAGTTAAAGATATATTAGGTAATTTTTTAAATTTTGGTCGATATGTGTTTGAGATACAATTGATTGTCATTTTGTAAGATGAGTATTCCATTTTCCCCCTCTTGAGAGTATATTATCTCTATACCTATGAATCGTTTAACTTGATCCATGGTTTCTATTTTAACATTTCTTTAATCCGAGCTTTTGTCCTTCTTACTTGTCTTCTTGTATTATTGTCCTCGCTTGTATTGGCAACTATTCATTGAAATAAAATTGAGTTATTGCCAATACAAGCGAGGAAAATAATACAAGAAGAAAATCAATGAAAACAAAGCTCAGAATAAAGAAATGTAAAAAGAAAACCATGGATTAAGTTAAATTATTTATCAGTACAGAGGAAAAAAACTCTCTAGAAAAATTGCAGGGCAGAAAATGGAACATTCAATCTTAAAAAATGGCATTCAACTGTAGCTCAAACATGTATCAAATAAAATTGAAAAATACCTAAGATATTTGTAACTAAGATGCAGTGTTATTAGTTCTTCCGAGCTCAATCTGCGCGAGTTAAGGAGGGATTAGTGTAATTCATCCAATTAAAGTAGATTCAGGAAGTAATAGAGGAATTGGTCCTTACCTTGAAGAATGCAGCTAGCAACAGTGTTGAACCGAAGAAGTCTTCATCGAGTTGGATTTATGATGTTCCTGAGAATTTTGAACACCCAAATGAATACCAATCAATTTTAATGCAAATATTTCATGGTTGCATCGAAGAGAGGAGGATTTTGGTGTTTTGACAGACGTCCTTCGATATACTGGAAAAATCCTTCTTGTTCCGACATGATTTCACATTGTGTTTCTAGTTTTATTTTTTCTTCGATTTAGCGGTAGAGGCTGTGTTTTGGTCTTGAGTCACATTTGGACTCAAGCCATTTATGATTAAACCCCTTTTTATTGATTCAATAAATGGGCATTTCCCATATTTATTTTTTTTGTAAAAAGTCCAAAAATAGAAGGAGAAGAACTACCGAATTGTAATATGATGCAAAAAAATTATGCATTATATAAATTTTAGTCAAATAGCGAAAAAATTCAAGATTCTCAAAATTTAAAGTGGAAAAATAAAATATCGGTGTTTAATCATGAAGTGAACTACTGCTAATTCTAATTTTCAAAGATGAACAAGAAAAAAAACTAACTTTGAAATAATAGAAAGATCAATCATAAATTTGTTAATAACAAATTTAGTTTGTAGTTTTTTGTTTTTTAAATGGAACAATACTCAAGTGAACTCCATTGATGAAATTATCAAAAACGTGTAACTTCTAAGAGAAAATCTTAAAAGAAATGAGATTGGTGTAGAGAATAATAGAAGAAAGGTATAATTGGGAAACATTCTGCTAGCCCAAGATCGTTAACGAAGATTGAAAGATTCAACTAAGGAAGAGGAAGCTCGAAAGGAGAAGTTGTTTATGGAAGAAGAGTCTTTTACTTGGGTTGTTCTTGGGTTACTATTGGGTTGTATACAAATGACAATGTCACCCCTATTTATAGTTGTGTAGGGATGATTCTAGATGCTAATAATCTAGACTATTCTATCATTTACTATAAAAATATATTCTCTAGAATATCTATAGATGGTTCTAGAGAACTAATCTTCTAGAAATTTCTCTAGAATAACTAGATATTTCTTCAAGGTAACTTCTCTAGAATAACATCTAGATATTTCTTTAAGATAATTATTTTAGGTACTAGACTAGACCATTCTAGAAACTATACTAGAAAAGTCTATAATATTCAATAAATCAAATTTATCATTTTTCACACTCCCCCTTAAAGTGATTTGTGGAAACTACCCCAAACTTGTTGTGGAAGAACATAAAGGAAGCTCTGAGATATGTCTTGGTGAAGATCTCAACAATTTCTTTCGGACTCCTTTTCCTTCTTCAAATGATAAAGATTTTTCACCATCAGTTGATCCATGTTTATTATCTCCATGTTGATTTCTCAAACTCTTCCTTTCGCTCAACTTCTCAACAATTAAAACACTATCAATTTTTAGTGAAGTCTCAACACCATCACAGGATCCAATGTCATATTTACTTATCATCTCCTGCATAGATATTTTAGCAGCTTCAGAGGTTTCAAAAAGTATATCGTTTGCCTCTAAGACTTTAATATCAATTTCTTCCTATATTTGATCTCAATTTTCTCCGTCTGCTTTCAGAATTTGTTGAGTCATTAATTAATCTTGATATTGTAGTTGAGTCACCATATAATGCCGCTTCCAATACATCTCCGTCAATGCTTTCTTTGTAAAGTTTGCCACTCGCATATGTAGTTTCAGATATTGCATGTTCAAGATCTTCTTCTTTGATTCCTTCAATAGTATCTACTTTGTCACCGCTAAGAACATCCTCAAAAATTTGTTGCTTCATGTTGACAACATTAATTTCTTGCTTCTCTATATGATCGACTATGTTATATTCTAGGTAGTCGATCCAATCTCCTTCAAGATTGATGGAGATCATCGCATGTATTGCTAGAGCCTAATCTAATAAACATTGTTCACGCTCTTCTTCTTCTTCAACAACTTTTTCATCCTTATTGATCTCTTTGACTTGACAATATATTTGTATGCACCCTACTACACAACAACGATAACATCTTAGATGCTTCTTACCAGAATAATTAGAAGACTATTTTTTTTCATGCGAGCTTGAATCACCTGAGGATCGAGAGTGTGACATATCTATTGATTTTAATTTGAAGTTTCTCTGTAGGCTACAAGAGCATCTCCTTCTTTTTCTTTGAGAAACAAACTAGCCAACTGTTTGGCTAGTTATTCTTGTGAAAACAACAATTTTTCAAATTCCTCCAAAGATGGTTGTTGAGCTCATCCTTGAATCGACGTCATAAATGGAATATATTTAGGTTTCAATCCATGAATGACTATTCTTCTCATTCTTGCTTCAGAAATAGCCTCTTTTGGATTTAATAAACATATCTCAGAGCACAAGTTCTTAATATTTAAAAAATACCCAGCGATAAAAATAATACCTTGAGTGGTGTTAACCAATTTATTCTCCAATATCTGCAGCCGAGCTTCATTCTTCTTGTTGAACAAGCAATATAGGATCCTCCATATTTCATGAGCTAATTTACACTTTATAATATGAATAAATAAATTAGAGGAGAGTGTCCTCTTTAGAATAAACTCTGCCTTCGCATTAATCTGCTTTCACTTCTTATATGGATTGGTATTTTCTAGTCCATCAGTAGGAGGACTTGTTTTACACCCATTCATAACATCCCACAAATCCTCACCCACAAGGTTCTAATTCCATACATGTTTTCCATACCTTGTAATTGGATAAATTCTGCAACTCCATTCCAATTCCATTAACACGACCACTAAAATCCATATAGACAAACAAGTTGAATCGACCTCTAGCTCGATCTTGAAATAAAATCCAGAAGCTAATATATGACTATGGTACTGATACCATGTAGAGAATAGAAGAAAAAAAGTATGATCGAGAAACCTTCTACTAGCTTAAGATCGTAAACTAAGACAGGAAGATTCATCTAAGGAAGATGAAGCTAGAAACGAGAACTTATTTTGAAAGAAGACTATTTTACTTGGATTGTTCTTGTGTTACTATAAGGTTGCATACAAAGACAATGCTACCCCTATTTATAGTTGTGTAGGGATGATTCTAGATACCTATAATCTAGACTATTCTATCATTTACTACAAAAATATCTTCTTTAGAATACCTTCTAGTGAACTTGTCTTCTATCATTTTCTATTCAAGGTCACTTCTGTAGAATATCTAAATATTTCTTTAAGATAATTATTCTAGTACTACACTAGTCCATTCTAGAAACTATACTGGAAAAATCTATGATATTTGAAAAACCAACTTTATCAGTTTTCAGATTTGGGTCATGTCTAGTTAAATTTGTATTTAAAATTGAAGATAAATTATTGGATTTGTAAGCTTAAAATTGTTCCTCCTTAAAAGTAAGGGTAACTGTGTTCAAAAGTATAGTGGAGGGGTACGTTTAAACCAAAGTATAACAGAAGAGGTATATTCAGACCAAAATATAATAAAGAGTAATTTAGACTACTTTTAATTGTACAAGGTATATCTCAATCTATTCAGTTATATATATATACTAGTACTCCCCCTGTTACAAAAAGAACCTCCTATTTATTTTAGTTTGTCTTAAAAAGAATGACCTCTTTCTCTTTTAAACATTTTAATTTCAGGTTTACACATGACATATTTAAGGTAACAGGATTAACGGACAATTTTGTACATTTAACATAACTTTAATTTAGAACCATGAGATTCAAAAGTCTTTTTTAGTTTCTTAATCTCCATGCTAATTCAAATTATACCATTCTTTGTGTAACAAATAGTAATTATTTTCACAAAAGGAGAAACCAATCAGAAGGCATCTTATCTCTCTCCTTTTTCGTTTAGAACAAAGTAACTCTAAAAGAATATCTTTTTTTATCCTTCCTTTAATCACAAAGTGACCAAATAGAGTCATACACAACATGAATTCACGACATACCAAGATTAATTAATTTCATTTATGGAAATGATTCAAGTTAGAAAAGGCACTCAAACACATGAAATACTTATTATCCTATCAAAATTAAAGCTGTGAACTTTAATGTTTTTCTTTTCCCATAAAACGATTTATGCTTGATTTTCCATGGTTGAATTGTTTTAATTTTTGTTCGATACATTTACATACAAACTCAATGATTGTTATATATTATAACAACTGTAAAAGTGGATTTTTTTTTGCAGATTTTAGGATTGAAGGGGCAGGAAAAGTACAACTAAAAATTAAGAAAAGATTTCCATCTTCAAAGCCTAATTCCCAAAAGTCATAGTTGACGGTTGGGTCTATGACTTGTTTTGCATAATTATCTTGGCAGAAGCTGTTGACGGAGGGAGGGTCCAAGTAATTTTTGTAGAAAAAGAAGTGGATCTTGTCTCCCAGGTCCAGGTACAAGAGGTTTCTATTCCTGGGGATTGTTGTTATTTCTCTATTCCTGGCTGATAGAGTATGGCCTCTCTGGAATAGTTCTTTGGACAATTTCTTATTTCTTCATATGCCCAACTCTCATTCTCCAGGTGCAACACATTTATTCTTCTTCTTCTATATAACTTGGAGATATGGAAGTTAGTGTTAAAATCTCCTTGGTTAATTGTATATCTTAAAATCTACAAGTCATCCTCCATTTTAAGAAAAAGGTGTATTCTTTTGTTAAGTTCTGCACCAGTTTTTAGAGGTAAATACTACTAAAATCGAAGCGCATGCTCTGATTCACAGGGTTTTTGACTTCAAAACTCTCGCTTCTACAAGAAATTTTTGATCAATCATGGCCATATTTTCCACTCGTCAGCCTACTTCGATGGCTGGCCAGCAAATCCCAGTACTCAATTCTGCTCTCTATCCTTGGTTGCAAAACATTCGTAATACTTGGTATCTGATGGTTCCTGTTTTGCAAAATATGCACCCCTTATTGATTGTACGATGGTGTACTGGAGATTGCCTTGATTAGGGTCCTACAAATGGAACTCGGATGGTACAGTAAAAGGAGTTGGTGGCCCTAGTGCTGGGGACTTTTATATTAGACATGGTGAAGGAAATTTGATACATGCTGAGTGTTGTGGTTTGGGAACAACTTCAGTTCTAATGTCTAAGTCAATGGCTTTGCGGAGAGGACCGGAGTAGTATATAATGCATCAATATTTGTTGTGCGGAATTTGAGATAATACGAGAAAATATAAACGCGAAAAACAAGACAACAGATTTACGTGGTTCACCAATAAATTGGCTACGTCCACGGGAAGAGAGGGAGCAGTTTTATTATGGAGAGGCAAAAACAGAATTACAGAATAGGGTTTGCCATAGCGTCTATATATATAGTGCTAAGCTACGCCCTAAAAGGCTTGGGTCCAGGCCAGGGGGCGCGTCGCCCCCCTGGACCCCCCGACTCGCTGACCGGGCAGCGAGACCCCCGTCCTTTCTGTTTGTAGCGGGTCTGATTCAAGGCATTCAACAAATCTCCACCTTGACTTGAATTCTCCGAACAGATTCTTCAGACGCACTATGATAGTGCCAGGCCTCCCCCTCTTCCTCAGAGTTGCCCCGCAGGGCAATTAACAGCTTCTGATGTTGAGCAAGTCCAAACAGTGTTGAAACTTGCTCTGTGGAACCGGCTTTGTAAACATATCAGCAGGATTATCAACAGTTCCTACTTTCTTCACCTTGATTCTCTTCTCACTTATCAGAAAATGATACCTTACGTCAATATGCTTGGGTCTCTCATGATGGACTTGATCCTTGGCTAGACAAATTGCGCTCAAACTGTCACAATACACCGTAGCCTGATCATGATGCAGACCAAGATCACTAACCAGCCCTTTCAACCAAATCCTTTCTTTTGCAGCCTCTGTCAAGGCCATGTACTCCGCTTCTGTAATAGACAAAGTCACTGTAGGTTGCAAAGTTGCCTTCCAACTGACGA